TTCTTCGCTCGTGGCACGGATTACGACATGGACTTCACCCTGCTGGTGCCGGCCCTGAAGCTGCACGACCGGAACCAGCCGGTCACCCTGGACATGCGCCACTCCGCCTTGTGTCATTCCTGGCTGAGCTTGCGTCTCTTTGACGAAGGGACCATCAGCAAGTGGAAAGACTGCTGCACCATCGTTGACCACCTCAACGGGGCCACCAACTACTTCTTCTCCCCCACCCGGGTTGCCGAGTGGTTCTACGAGTCCATCAGCGTGGTCCTCTCTGAGATCCAGAAGAAGCCCCAGCGGGGGATGCCCAAGGTGGAGAAGGTGGAGAAGAACGGCACCCTCATCTCCATCATTTTGCGGGTGGGCAGCAGCCGCATGCTGTACGACATCGTGCCCGTGGTGTCCTTCAAGGGCTGGCCGGCCGTGGCCCAGAGCTGGCTGATGGAGAACCACTTCTGGGATGGGAAGATCACGGAGGAGGAGGTCATCAGCGGCTTCTACCTGGTCCCGGCGTGCTCGTACAAGGGCCGGAAGGAGAACGAGTGGCGCCTGTCCTTCGCCCGCAGCGAGGTGCAGCTGAAGAAGTGCATCTCCAGCAGCCTCATGCAAGCCTACCAGGCCTGCAAGGCCATTATCATCAAGCTGCTCTCGCGCCCCAAGGCCGTCAGCCCCTACCACCTGCGCAGCGTCATGCTCTGGGCCTGCGACCGGCTGCCCGCCAGCTACCTGCTGCAGGAGGATTACGCTGCCCACTTCCTGCTGGGCCTGATCGACGACCTGCAGCACTGCCTGGTGAACAAGACCTGCCCCAACTACTTCATCCCCCAGTGCAACATGCTGGAGCACCTCGCCGAGGAGACCGTCATGCTGCATGCTCGGAAGCTGTCCTCGGTGCGCTCCGACCCCGCCGAGCACCTCCAGACGGCCATCGAACACGTCAAGGCAGCCAACCGGCTGACGCTGGAGCTGCAGCGGAGGGGCAGCGCCACCAGTATCCCCTCCCCCCAGTCAGACGGAGGGGACCCCAACCAGCCCGATGACCGGCTGGCCAAAAAGCTGCAGCAGCTGGTGACTGAGAACCCGGGAAAGTCCATTTCGGTCTTCATCAACCCTGACGACGTCACGCGGCCGCACTTCAGAATTGACGACAAATTCTTCTGAGGCTCCCTCTGTCCCCTCCGGGGCCTCCTGCCCCACCTCAGGCCATGGGATCCGGGGTTCACCGGGGTCTCTTTACTTCGTCAACATATCAGGCCTGCGGGGGCGGGGGGGCGGGGGGGGGTAGGCTGCAGCAGGGTCCTGCGGTCCTGGGCTTGAATTTGCTGCTACTTGGGCATGGAGGCTGGCCTTCCAGCGTTCTCCCAGGCCGCCTTGACGGTATGCGCACCTGGCCGCCTCCTTCAGCAACCCCCCGCCCCCCTTTCCCTTAGCACATGATACCTGGTGGGGTGGGCTGGCTCCTCCTTTTATAGAATCGGTTCCCGGCCCCCCACCCGCCTCCCCCCCTGCTTTGCGAGGGTGAGGTGAGAAACGCCCAGCGGAAGGGATAGCCGTCCCTGGGCTCCCCCCACCCCACCCCAGAGAGACCGAAACGGCGCCAAGGTCCCACCCTGGTCTCTTGAGTCGAGGGCCTTTCCCTCCCCTGGTCTCTCCTGTTCTTGAATGTAATTGTTCCATGTCAGGGCTGGGCGGGACCAGGAGGCTCTTCCTGCAAGTGGGACCCTGGGACAGTCGGTCTTAGCGCGCGTCCTTAGTCCAAGCCTTACTTCCAAGCGATTAAAGGACGGGCTGTGGAAACGGTCCCTGCGCACTCACCCCTGACCTGGCCTGACCCGTGGCTTTTTATCTCTCTCTCTTGATAGCCTGCCTTTGTTATTTTTATCAGTAACTCAACTGGTGAGCCTACACAACCTTCCTTCCTCTTTTCACATTTCCCCCACAACAACAATCCTGTGAGGCGGGCTGGGCTGAAGACAGAGTGACTGGC